ATGTGTGTTTTACTTCCAGGTTCTGGAAGAAATTTCATGAGGAGTTGGGTACCCGATTGCATTTCAGCACGCTTACCATTCATAGACCAACGGGCATAGTGAGCGGACGATTCAGACGCTCGAGGACATGCTACGCGCATGTGTTATGGACTTCGGTGGAAGTTGGGACACTTACTTGCCCTTGGCTGAGTTTTCATACAACAACAACCATCCTTCCCAACATCAGTATGCCTCCTTTGAGCTTTTATACGGGACGAGGTGCCGGACTCCTATCTGTTAGGGAGAGGTAGGGTAGAGAGTGATGGGGAGCACTGAGATAGTCTCAAGAACAACATAGCAGATCCAGCAGGTCAGACAGAGGTTACTGCGACCCAGAGTTGTCAGAAGAGTTACGAAAACCGGCGATGTTTAGAGCTAGAGTTCCAGATCGAAGAGTATGTTCTCCTGAAGGTATCCCCATGGAAAGGGGTGATCCGATTCAGGAAGCGGGGAAAGCTAGGCCCTAGATACATCGGTCTTTTCAGAGTGATTGCTCGAGTGGGTAGGGTAGCTTATCGGTTAGAGGTGCCTACAGAGTTGAGTCAGATTCATAACACCTTCATGTGTCCCACCTAAGGAAATGTGTGTAGCCGATGAGACGGCAGTGGTCCTTTAGAGGACATCAGATTGATGATCGCATGAACTACATTGAGAAACCAGTGAAGATTTTGGATAATAAGGTAAAGCTCTTAAGGAATAAAGAGGTTCCCTTGGTTCAAGTTCAGTGGCAGCATCGGAAGGGATCCGAGTGGACTTGGGAGTCGGAGTCCGAGATGCGGGAACAGTACCCATAGTTGTTTCCGGAGAATGGCTTCGAGGGCGAAGTCTGATTCTATTGGGGGGAGAATTGTAACATCCCGACTCACAAGTATATTATTTAATTATATTATATTCATTTTGTCATGGCAACTCGACGAGTTGGAGATCCTAACTCGCCGAGTAGAGGTGGAGATACCCGCGTGATTTTTAGAGTCTACTCAACGAGTTGGAGGACCCAACTCGACGAGTAGGGTGTTGGTGTGAGGGAAATCCTAATTTTCAGGGTTTGTACCCTATTTAAAGGACCTTAAGCCTTCATTTCCGCCTCCCTTATCATTTTGACACACTGAGAGAAACCCTAATCGAGCTGTATTCATCTGTAAGAGAGAGAGAGAGAGAGAGAGTGAGAGAGAGAGAGAGAGTCTAAAAGTGTGTGATTTGGTGCATTCTTAGAAGAAGATAGAAGAGAATAAGGCTTGGAACGAGAAGAAGGCCTTGGATTCAGTGTTCCTTCAGTACTAGCTGCTAATTGGAGGTAAAAATCTATCACCTTGATCATTGTTTGGTTAAATCTCTTTTTGAGGAAGTTTGTGGCCATTTCCATCTTCCTTTTGAGCCTTTGAGCCATTTGAGCATGACATGAAGTTGAAACTTCAGATTTGGACAGTTTGAGGTCCCTTGAGCATAACGATTCAATCTTTATCAAGCTATTGGCCAAGTTCCAAACATTAAACCTTCTTTAGAGCTTTGTTTTGGCATTTTGAGCCCTAGGTGCCATGCATGGACGTAAAGCTTGCAGCTTTACGTGGTATTTCAGCCTTGGGAGGCTAGATCTAGAGTTTGAGACTTCAGATCTACTTAGAATCGTCTGAATGGGAATTAGACTAGAGGGACTCGATGAGTGCATGAGCCAACTCGACGAGTCGGTTAGAGTTTTCCCCAAAAGTCTGGACACATGCAAACTCGACGAGTTGATGAGACACCTCGGCGAGTTGAGTTGGAGTTTTCCCGATTTTCTGAGAACAGGAGGAGCTCGATGAGTCGCATAGGTGCACTCGACGAGTTGGGTCAACATGGACTGTTGACTTGAGTGTTGACTTTCGTTGACTTTTAGGGTTTGGTCAAGTGATGGATATGGAGACCATGGAGGGATAATCTGGTCTTTTCACCCTTTCCAAGAGTTAGTAAAGGGATTAGCTTAATATCTTTAATATGGTTATTACAAAGTGTTATTTAGAGATGAATATGATATGTAGGCGGAGTCGAGACCGATCGTTGAGTACGAGACATACTTGCTTTGCTTACAAGGTGAGTCTTCTCACTGTACTTACCTGAGTGGTAATATTGAGTGACCGGAGGGTCTATTTGAGTTACTGACCGGAGGGTCTTATGTGCTTATTCTGAGTTATATGGTATTATGCATTTTGTCTTTGTGATTTATGTTGTATATTATATGTGCCTTATTGAGTTAGGATCGGAGGGTCCAAACCGAGTTGTGAGACTGGAGGGTATTCACTGAGATATCGGACAAGAGGGTCCGACCCGAGATGTGAGACCGGGGGGTCTTCACTGATACACATGACCGAAGGGTCCTTATTGAGATTTAGACATGAGAGGCTAATTATCTGTGCATGGTATTTTGGGGAACTCACTAAGCTTCATGCTTACAGTATTGTGTGATATGTGTTTCAGGTACTTTTCAGGATCGCAGGAAGACGTCGACTTGATTGTACACACCAGTTGGAGTTTATGTTTTTGAGGATTCTGGGATATTATCAAACATTTGTTGACTTGTGTTTTGACAACTTATACATTTGTGGTTTTTGAGAAATGTGATATTGGGTTTTATGTGATTTTAAAAATGAAAATTTTGTTTGAAAATTTAGAGTATTAATTGTTATTGTTACTGTTAGTGTTAGTGTTAATGTTACTATTGCTGTTACTGTTGATGTTATTATTATTATTAGCATCAAAACTCTTCAATTTCGACGTTTAATGTATGTTTTTAAGTATTCTAGTGATCCTATGTTGCATTTTATGTCATATTTAAGTGTTTAAAAATGTTTTTTTTTAAATCGAAATTCTGGATCGGATTAAACTGATTTGGATCATGCAAAGAAAAAACTAGTCAAAACCGGTTTCAAACATTAGGATTTTTGGCAAACTAGATTTCAGCTAACATCATCAAAAGTCAAAACCGGATCTGAATCGGATCGGATTAGATCGGGCCTTCGTGCACCTCTACTCATCATTAATCATGATGGGGGTGTGAACTATTATTTGATGTTGTAGTCTTTTACTTCATTTCTATGCATGTGAATTTGGTGTTTAGAATTTTTCTTATGCATTCTAATTAGCTTTTTAAAGATTTACCTGTTAGATAGGAAGATATTTTGATATTCATCATGTTTTTTCATTAAACATAAATGTATTTATAGATTTTATTTTGGAATCCTTTTATAACTTTAACACTACAATATAAAACTATATCGATATAACATGGACATTATCATAGAAACAATATAGTAAATAATATATAATACATCTTCTTAGTTTAAGGATAGTTGTACGGAAGACTATTCTTGAGTTTGTCTTGAGTGGCTCTTGAATCTGACTTGAAACATAATTTTGAACTACGCTTTGAATTGATGCATTTGAAATTTCGAAACATATATTGGAAGAATATTTGTCGTGACGTCGACTTGTCTATGAAAGAATAGATGAATTCTTAATGTCGAATGAGGTAGTATTAGGCAGACTAGAGAAGTGAAAGTGTTCGACATGAAAAATGTGTTTGATAAAGTTTCAAGTCAAAAGAAGAAAGGATAACCTTAGGAATGGAGGTTTTGACATGTTAAAATGCATTCCCACCGGCAAAAATCTAATACACATAACTACAATGTCTAATTTTCTGGCGATAACATAAAATGTATAGATAAAGTTACATAACTCATTGATCTAGGTAGATCATTGTTGTTTTTTATCATTCTTTTTAGACAGATTTTGTTGAGTATTTGCGAAAATATTGTGTAAAAATGAAAATGGAATATTTTTAGATTTATATATGCATGATTCCGAATCATGTCGTAAACCCATTATATTAGCCCACCATAAAAATTGTTGTCCACCTCTATTTTCGCAAATAGCGACCTGCAAACATTATGACTATGTTTGGTATTTACGAGGGTAACGAACTTTCGATTTTGTTTATATTTCGTCACTTAATCTTTTTTGGTACATAATTTACCAGTAAACTTATTTTTTGTGTTAAAAAAATATCATTAGACCGGTTGATGCACGTCATACGGGTATTTTATTTACAAAAAATAAACTCATTGGTAATTATGTACACAAAAAAGAAAGTGATTAAATGGGAACAAAAGTAAATCTATTAATTTGTAAAATATTCATTTTTATAAATTTTTATTTTGTAATGTTTTTAAAATCTGGTTCTTATCTTTATAAAAAACAATTATTTAAGTATTAAAATATGATTTACCAACCACCGTGATTATAATAAATGCAAATTATTCTAGTGATCTTTCAAACATTATTTCACTTGAAACTTAATATGTTTTTACTTTTTTTTTAGTTTTCACAGATATGAACATAAACACTTTCACAAACATTTAAATAATGCATACAATTTAAGAACAATATTTTTCTCTCTTAAAACATCAAACATTACCCTTTTATTAAAAATCTCAAAAGTTTAATATATTTTTCCTTTTTTAGAACCGTTTGTCCCACTCAAATATTGATGCTTGATATTCCTGCCTACTTACATTTTTGTTTGTAAAACCTTAAAATCGAAGTTTCTAATAAAATTATATTTAATTCATTAATTGCTTAGATCGGTATAAGAAAATTATTAAAAATAGACTTATGGAATATTTTTTTATAAAATGAAATTAATAGAGATTTTAATAAAACATTTCATGGTGGACCGAGCTGCTCACCAACCTTTTCCGTATATACGAATACGTATATACGTATAGCAATCTTTTCTTGACTTATTAATATATATAATTATATATAAATCAATCAAATGTGAGCAATTTTTAGTTTAACATTCGAACATTCTGCTCGGTTGAACCCGTCTTCCCCCTCCCCTTTCTCTCTCTTCAAACCGGAGCATTTAAATTCCGGCGACCAAACGCCGTCGCCATAAAAATAGGCTAATAGTTGACAGCTGCAACTAAATGAAGTGTTTTCACTTTAGTACTGGAGATAGGAGAGCCAACGACGAGGACGGTGTCCTTTCCAGGTCGTCGACCAGGGTATCCTGGGCGCGTTCCCTCAGCGTTGCATCCACCAGCTTTGAAACTACTCGTCGGTCGGAGTTTGATTCAGATAGCAACTCTAGAGACCTCAGTGACACCGTAGGATTCTCTGAGCTCTTATCTCAGCGCCGTGCCAACGATCTGCGAGTTTTTAAGTTCGCTGAGTTGAAGTCTGCGACCAAGGGATTCAATCGATCGCTTGTGATCGGAGAGGGGGGATTTGGTTGTGTTTACAGAGGAGTTGTTAAGTCCGCCGCCGTGGCCGATGCAGGTAGCGATGGAGATCGGTATTTGGATGTTGCTATCAAGCAGTTGAGCCGTAATGGATTCCAGGCATGGCTTTTTGCCCTTTTCTCCGTCGTTTTATTTTCTTTATTTAATTAGATTTTCAAATAAATTACTGTTTCCCGAGTGTTTTTTTTAGAGAACTCCACACACAACTCCAGAATCCATGGATTTGCAGGTTTTGCAACCACAAGCACCATTAATCACGAAAAATATCTGAAAAACTATTTTTTTATGTGTGTATATAACTATATATGGATTTATATTCTAACGCACTAGCTGCCTATGAATTTTCTACGTTGAATAAGAGTATAAGACAAAAGATCTTATATAAACAAGAAATTCTCGGTGGAAACTACAGTTGTCAGAACGTCAAACTTATCTAAAAAACGATACAGTTTACAATTCTACCAGCACATTGTACACCCTTTTGATTCTGCTACTGTTCTATATAAGTATACAAAATATGTCCTATACACATAATGCAGTGGTTGGAGCTAAACAATTATAGTAATATAACAACAAAAGGAAAGATTGGAATGGATTACTCATCTTTAGGTCTAGTAATTGGTAAAGAATTAAAGTTTCTTTTAGCTTTTATGAACGAAAGCTTTTTATGAATGAAAGTTTGATGTGAAAAACAACAAAATTTAGTACCTGTCACAAAAATAATTGTGCATCTGCTCAAATGTAAACATCAAGCACAACTTTTTACTGTTTGGAGGTGTAATTCAATTCAATTCAGTATTCGTACCATGTATTTAAGAATTGAAATTATTTTGTCACCAAATATCTAAAAGGGTTTGTTTTCATCTTAGAGCAAACATTTGATCGATTGCTTACTCATCACTCATAAGAAGTAATTCAGAAACCTGGTATTACTAATTTTCTGTATTGAATGTTAATGTTTGTCTTCTGAATAAAATGTTGATAACAATTTTGTTCCATTGATAAAGTTTTCTTTTTCTTTTTCTTTAATGTTGACTAGACTTGCAGAAAAATTATTGTTTTGTCCACCATAGACTTGTACATCACTGGACCAGTCTCAAATCAAAATTACCATTGGATACCCTTTTTAAATCTGACTTCTTACTCTATGTTCACATGAAACCTTTTCAAAACATTAGATTCATATGACATAAACGTAAATCAATCAAGATTTATTAACATCTTGTGGTGGGGTACTTTTTTGATAATTTTATTTTGTTGTCTTATGGATTTTTCTTGAAATTCTATGTTCTTAGTGTTCAGGGGCATAAGGAGTGGATTAATGAAGTCAACTTTTTGGGTGTAGTCAACCATCCAAATCTTGTAAAGTTAGTTGGATATTGTGCAGAAGATGACGAAAGAGGGATTCAAAGGCTTTTAGTGTATGAACTCATGTGCAATAAAAGCTTGGAAGATCATCTTTTGGGACGTGTCCATTCTCCTCTTTCATGGATGACACGCTTACAAATTGCACTTGGTGCAGCTCGTGGTTTGGCTTATCTTCATGAAGAAATGGATTTCCAAGTAATCATTTATTTCACTCTAAATGCAACAAATAGCAACCTACTTTCACTCATTTGATATATATTTTTATATAATGCAGTTGATTTTTCGTGATTTTAAAACCTCAAATGTTCTTCTGGATGAAGACTTCAACCCAAAGCTCTCGGATTTCGGTCTAGCAAGACAGGGTCCCACTGCTGGACTGAGTCATGTTTCAACAGTGGTATACTAATATTTATTATTCTTTATTCTTTCATTTATTTTTATTATAAAAATTTATAATATTTGTGGTATTTAAATTTTAAGGTGGTGGGGACGATAGGTTATGCAGCGCCTGAGTATGTGCACACGGGGAGACTGACATCAAAAAGCGATGTGTGGTCGTTTGGGGTGGTGGTGTACGAGCTTATCACAGGTAGGCGAGCGGTGGAACGAAACTTGCCACGAAACGAACAGAAGCTATTGGAATGGGTGAAGCCTTTTATTTCAGATTCGAAAAAATTCCATCTTTTAATGGACCCACGTCTCGAAGGAGACTTCTCCCTTAAATCCGCACAAAAACTATCTTCTTTAGCCAATAAATGCCTCACAAAAAACCCCAAATCCCGACCCAAAATGAGCCAAGTAGTCGAAATGCTCGAGCAAATCATCAAGGATACATCACCGGAACCGGAACTGGAATTACAACCGCAACTGGAATCACAACCGGAACCGGAATCACAGCCGGAACTGGAACCGGAACCGGAATGTGTTAAAGAAGAAGGTGATATGAAAAAGCAAGTGAGTGGTAATTATATAAAGAGGGTTTTTGATTTTAAGGAATTGGTTACGTTGAGGAACAGATCGATTGGGAGATTGGATTGGAGGCATTGGACAGCTGGCAGTGTGAAACATAATAGCGTGTGAATTGTGATATGTTAATTGTGAAGGTGTTGTTTCTGTGTTCATTGTAAAATGTGTTTGTAGTAGTAAAGGATTTTTTGTACAAACTAAAGGGAAAATGTACGGATTATTTTCTCGACTTGAGATCTAAGTAAGTGTCACTGTTAATGAAATTATTGTAACGTTTTCTTATTTATTTAGCTGATTTCTTAATGTTCATAAGATAGAAATTATAACATAGCTGGACATTTTGGACTTATTTAACATGAAATGAGTTAAAATTAGAGACTTGGTCATCATATGCAACTTTGTAGAATCTATATTTTAAAGGATACCATATGTTGACTTATTTATGGGAAACCAACACGAAAGTCTTTCTTTGTTGATAAAAAACCAATTCTTGAATTTTCCTCAAACAGTCAAACTTTACAAGCTTCTGAAATTTGGAGATATTCTATTAACGATACTTGGACTTGGCAACTAAATTTATATACCAAAGAGTGGTGGACTTGTTTTTTCTAAAGTAAATGCCTATAACCTTTTAAATCGTTTTATTGAAAATATAGGTTTAATTATTTTAATAAGTTAATTCTTCTATAAAAATTAAACATCAGTTGTTTATAAAATTCAAAATAAAGAACTAGAAAAATACATGTGGGTGAGTGGGCCAACGAGTCAATCAAAGCCGCTGTGACCTGTTAAAAAAATTACTATATGATTTGATGTCTCATAGATTTAAATACAGATTTACTAAACATTGTATGGGTATTTTGTTGAATACCAAATCACAAAATCAGCAACCAGATGACCAAAAGTTAAGAATAAATTAAACTTCAGGGATGACTTTTGTAGCTTCCTTGAATTTAGAAACAAACTTAAAACTTAGCCCAAATAAGTGTACAATCATTTGGCCCAATTAGTCCTCTTTTCCTACAAACCTTGAGGCCTGGGATAAGAAGTGTTCCCAATTGGGAGTGTTCCATGAGTCGAGTGTCTTCGGGGCTTGCTTCCCTTCGGGTCCTGAAGCTGCTCGAGTTCTTTGACCACTTCCACCATAGTGGGCCTAAACCTGGGCTCAACCGATATACACCGTAATGCAACGGTTGCAACCGCATAGGCCCCTTCCAGTGTATACTGGCCCTCGAGCCGGTTGTCTATAACCCGAAACAGTTTACGTTTGTGGGCCAAGTAAGGTTTGGCCCACTCAACTAAACTGTATTCGTTCGATGGCCTGTTCTTGTCTACTGCTCTTCGGCCCGATAACATTTCAAGAAGAACCACCCCAAAACTATACACATCACTCTTAGACGTCAAGTGACCTAAAATGAGAAGCCAAAAAAAAAGAAACATCACAAAATTGTACGAAATAGCAACGTGTTTTATAGTTTGAAAAATCTATCCAATTATAGCTGTAAAAGTTCAAAATTGTTTTGTATTTGGATGACAGCTACAAATTGGTGGATTTTTCGAAGTGTAATATTGTAATGGAAAGAAATGAAAATTAAAATGCTATGATAAAGAAATCAATGAAAGTATGTTGCTATTTCTTGATACAGAACACTGTTCTTGCATACCTGTTGCTAGATACTCGGGTGCCGCGTATCCGTAGGTTCCCATGACTCTAGTAGAAACATGACTCTTATCACCGGTTGGTCCATCTTTCGCGAGCCCAAAATCCGACAACTTTGCATTGTAGTTCTGTATTATAACGTCATTGTAAAATTACCAAACTACCCTTAAGCTTTAACCAGATTTTGGACGTGCATTTGAAGTGCTTGCTTATCGGTGTTTGACAAAAACTTATTCTTATTATGATTATTTAGGGCCGAAATAATAAAAGATTTGGAGAAGCATGCAAGAAGTTGAAAGAAATTGATTGTTGAGATAAATGTAAAGTTACCTAACTACCCTAAGAAACGTAATCTATACTTGTGAACAACACAAACTTACCGAATCTAGCAACACATTAGAAGTCTTGAAATCACGATAAATCACTTTTGTTTTTGCATTGTGAAGAAAAGCAAGGCCTTTAGCAGCCCCAAGAGCAGCCTTCAAACGAAGACTCCATGACAACGGTTGAAAATATGATCCTCCTATCGATCAGTCATATACAAAAAAAATTATTTCTATTCGATTTGTGTAAATCGAGAAAATAAAATAGAAAATAAACGAAAACTTACTCCTGAATAAGTGATTTTCCAAGCTTCCACGAGGCATGAACTCGTAGACTAAAAGTCTTTGTTCGTCCTCTAAACAGTAACCAATTAGTTCCACGAGATTTGGATGTGAAAATTGTCCGAGATAATTCACTTCTGCCTGAAAATACCGAATCCAAAAACAAATTAAGTTGAAGAACCAAGAAATTGAATTGGAAAAAACTCAACCTTTTATTATGTGTTAAAATGCAATGGCAACGTCCTTTCATTGATGTGTGTTTATCATTGATTTGTCATCCAAATACAAAGAGATTTTAGCTGCTATAATCACGTAAATTTTTCAAAAGTATAATATCCTGACAAGAAAAATTGATAGTAAAATGCTATAATCGGGTAGATATTTAAATTAGGTTCCTTCAAAAACGAAAATAAGATAGTATAATACATGGTATAAATGAAAATATGTTGTTATTTTTTACATGGTAAGTAAATCACAAAACAAGGACCAAAATGGGTGGAAGCTTTCAAAAGAACGTCCCACGACAAAAAAGAATCAATCATTTTTAATGAAAATCATGTATTTCACGATATATGATTTTTTTCAAAGTTCTTTTTGAAAAAGATTTTTGTGATAGGCATTAGACAATCACACGAAACCAGCTTTTTGATAAAACCATCGTTATCTTAATTGCTTATTATATTTTTGTAATTATTGTAATTATTATATAGTGATCATCGATAATAATTATTGTAATTATTATATAGTTGAAGGATAAAAGTTTACTCATGAAAGTTTTAACCAAAAATGGCGTAAAAAATGGATAGAGATTCAGATAAAAGTAATATTGAAAAAGTGAGGCTCACCAGCCACTCCCTGTGACCTTGAAAGCTTTCTTGATTAAGCTTTTTGACAGCAATAACAAGACCTGTTCCAGGTTTAGTAGCAGCAAAAGTCTGTTCATCGATCCAACCCTTGAAAACCGATCCAAATCCGCCTTCTCCGAGCACACTATCCGGCCGGAAGTTCCTCGTCGCCATCTTCAGATCGGAAAAACTGAAGCTTTTCAAATTCGACGACTGCAATATCTCACCTTCGCTCCGTGGAGTTGCTGGCATAGATGAGACCTTACTGCTATTTTGAGTCCCAACATCACCACCACTCTTTGAAATCACTCCTGAATCATTATTCATTCATTCACAAAACATTAATTTAAATCAAGTTTATGCACTAAAATGATTTAAAGAAGCAAAGACTCACAACAAAAACAAAAGCAAAACACAGAATACAAACACACCCCTCAAGTTACGCATCATCAAGTTCAATAGACATATATGAGTATTAGTATGTCCAGTTATAATACCGGAGTGAAACGGGCTCGTATCTTTGGTTTCAGCACTGAAGCAAATTCCCATTGGAATTCGTGTTTCTGGGTGGCTGCTCTCACTTTTCAAAACTCTTCAACTCAATAGTCAATGGCACCTTTAAACAAAACTACACCTTCATATCCAACAAAAAGATCAATAACATCCCAAACATATCTGGGTGTAAAAATCTTGAAACGGAAGATGCTGCTATTTTTCTTAGGAGTACTCTAAACACACTTAAATCACAGGCACCCTGAACGGCTGAATCAATTCGCACCAATTTCTTGAAAACCCATAAAGTTTGAGCACAGAGAGCAGTGTTAGGCTTATAGGTGTTTTGAGCAGAGGAAGTTAGTGAGGTGAGAGAGAGAGAGAGAGAGAGAGAGAGAGAGGGAGGTTGGGAAGAGATAGCATTAATGGGGAATTGGCCCCATTTCAAGTGTTTGTATCTTTTATTGTTTGGAGTAAACAATGGAACAAAACCACAATTATGAATAACCCCTTTAGCAAATTGATAGTAGGATAAACGATAGACATTAGCTTCTAATTCAAGTTTTTAACTGTAATATTTATTAATTGATGTTATAACTTATTGACATGGTAATTAAGGTTGTGGGGTGTGGAAACCGGAAAGTAGTGGTCAATCTATAACCTAAATGTACATGATTTCTAATTAAAGGAAACATAAAATGCTAAAAAGTCAAACAATATATATATATATGACAGATCTTTACCAACTGAGTTATATCCCCCGAACCAAGTGGAGTATGCATGAGGAGTCACACACTTCATCTATTCTTTTCCCTGGCCCAGCTGGGTCATCGTGGATGTCTAAAGACCTCACCTCACTCGTGAAGTAAATCACCGCACCTACGGTCCAACCAATTGGGAGAGAATAAATAGATTCTTTTTCAGGAGCGATGCATCCTTCCCGAACGCAACATACAACTCTCTGTTATACTACGCTCTTCAAGTGTGCATGTTCCCCCCCTTCTTCCTTACCATGAAATGTCTTTGTGAAATAACTCCGATGAGAAAAAAAGGCATTAAAAGCCTCCTGACCCAACCCTAGACACTCTAAGATCCTTTTTCAAACATGCTTCCATTTCGATCGGGTAGAACCAATAAAAAATGATGGGTTTGTTGGTGAATTGTTTCACTGATTGTATTTAAGTGTAATGGATTGACTTGTTGACCAAAATCAATTTTAATGAATATTAAACAAGTAAGGAAGGTGCGGGGTGCACACTTTTTTAAGTTTATTCAAGATTCAAAGTAGACTGTCATTTAGGGGCGAAACCCCTGAACGGACAGGGGTCCGGGGGTAGCTCCCCTGGGAGCGGGGTCCAAGGGGCGGCAAACCCTGGCGGAGTCCAAGGGGCAGAGCCCCTGGCTACGGTCGACCTGGTTTTTGACTTTATTTTGACCCTTATAAAAAACCCGAATTTGTGACAGTTTCTAACTCTTACGAACTGTGTTGTTATTCACACCCATTTAACCCCAAAACCACTTTATCAAAACCAGTTGACTTCATAACCCAATTTGATACGAATTATATTACATAATTGACAAATGATTTATAAAACTTTATTTTATATATACAATTTTGTTTTATATTTAACTATTTCAAGGTCTCTTTTTATACTTTCATTTTCTAATATATATATATATATATATATATATTATAAACCAAATATTATATTTTAATTTCATATTGTCATCTTTTATTATTAATTTTTATTTATAGACAAAACTGCAAAAATAGTCTCTATGATATGTATTTTTTTCGGGTTTTGGTCCAAACCTTAAATCTTTTGGATTGTTGGTATTTTTGAGTTAGTTTCGTTGCGTATTTGGTCTCTCAGAAAATTGAAATGACTATAATAACTTTGGTGTATTTATTTTCCATTTTTCTTTCATTTTTTTTCTAAATTTAATACTTATTATTTATTTTAATAATTAAAAAACAAGAAATGACCCACCTCCCTCTATATCTCCTTATATATTTCTCTCTTTCTCTATCTCTCTCACACACATACACACACAAACTCTAGTTACCGAGGACCACCGAGAAGATAAGAACCCAACCATACACTCTCTCTCACTGGAGATCACTCTCTTCAACCAATTATACACACCATATTTGCTAAGAAACGTGCATCTGTTCCGACCAAAAATCAAATTGAGATTAAGAACCACGTGAATGTTCATTTACAAGAATCATATCCAATACATAGAGTTTTGTCACTTTGGCGTCACAACAGATCATGACCTTTTATTAGATGGAAAATAATGTATAATGATCGACTTAATGCATATTTTCCACCGAGTATATCACATTATAATTGTAATCATCACATAGTTGATGTCTCTGATAATTAATAGTATTAATTTATACATTATTAATATTACATATTTTATTGTTAATATTAACATATTTCTAATAAAATTAAAATATGACATTGTTTGACAAAATGACGGTAAATGCAAATTGTAATTTTGATCTATATATATATATATATATATATATATATATATATATAGATATATATCTATATATATATATATATATATATATATATAATATATATATATATTAAAATTATGACAAGTTTTAACAGTAAAGTGACACCTTTTTTTGTCAATTTTGGTCCTCCAACTTACAACATTGACCCTTCATCTTTATGCTTTTGTTCACAAACAACCATTTCACTTTGGTTTGAATTTTTCATAACCCTCGCCTTTTATTACATATTATTAGTATTTAGTCTTTTGGCAGAAATGGTCCCTCATTATTATTATTATTATTGTTAGACAAAATTACACGATTGGTCCATGTGGTTTACCAGATTTAACATTCTGTTTTTGGTTTTAAATTAATGTTTTATTTATTAGAAAATACCCACCCAATA